TAATAACTATTCATTGGCAGAAAAGGCTAATATTTGCACAGTAAACCAGCCCCCAGTGACAGTCAGGTTACTTTCTCCAACGGATTACATTTTCTGCTCCATAAAATGGTTGGATGGAGGCAAGCATGGTGAGGTACACTGGAGAACAAATAGCTCAAAACCATTGTGAATAAGAAGACTAAGTTATGGTCTGGGAAATATTTTAGCAGACTTGGTATGCTCAGGGTCGACTCATCACTGTGGAAGGATAGCAGACCAATTTAAATATACATATTTTTTTGTAGACCACATACACACCTACATGCAGATGGTTTTTATAGAACAGGAAGCATCCTACATAATGACAACAAAATTATGTGATTAGTTGGGAGAGCAAGATGAATTAACAAAACTCCCTAGCCCCACAAATTCACTAACTTAAGGTGAATCAGTATGACAACCTAAATTCTGTCAATTGCTCTCTAGACTTTCTACCAGACATCCCTCAGTACTAGCTAGTACCCTCTGAATATCTTCCAGAGCCTGGCTGAGTCACTTCTGGCCCATGTCGCTACTGTCCCCACTGCACAAGCAGGTTCCCCTTGTTGGTGGTCACGTTAATATAACTTGATGTGAGAAAACTGAAAACATAAAATGCATGAGGGGTCAGATAATAAATCCTTTATGACTGAACCCTTCAGATAAGTTTAGTTTGGTATGATTAATGTCCCATTTTTTTAAAAGGCACATGTAGGTTGTTTCTTTTTGAGGGCATGAGGCTCATAATTTTGAACCTCATCACATGTAGACCCAACTTCCAAAATCCCCTCCATGCTTTAACCCTCCTAGTGGCAGAGACATCTTTTTCCATTTTTCAGGTTTAGTTGAAAAGCAGATAATTCGTATTTATATGTATATTTTCTTATAGGACCCTGGATAAAGTATTATTGAGATTTCAGAGATATAATTAAATATAAAAAAGACAGGTTCATTTGCTCTAAAAGCTAAGTTTTGTAATCTGACAGCTCAAATATCAAAATAATTGGGTTCTCGGAGGATTAAATAAGAGAACAGTGAGATAAGAGTTGAAATTTGGTGGTTCAAAATTCAAAAACACAGATTTTTATTCAGTACAACATACAAACACTGATCTAGTATTGATTATTAAATTCTTTATGAACCAAGATGGATTTAAATTACAAATTAATTTTACAAATCATGTTTTTTTAAAAAATTTTTGAAAGGATTTAGATATTATATGACATACTAGAAAAACTATAATATATAACTGCATACAGCTATTTTTGATAAATGTAGGGTTTACGATAGCCACCTGTTTCTCGCCAATTTTTCTTGGCACAGTTTCATGCGCCGTTGCCAAATACTGTTTTGGATGTGCAGTGCGCTTTATATTGCTCTCTTGCGCACGCATCACCTGAAAAGGAGAGATTGAGCACACAATGCCTGTGGCATTTCAAGCAAGTACCATGCAGGTTTATTTAAGTTAAAAAAACATCAGCGGCTTCGCTTTCAGCATAGCGGAATACTCATAGCTTCGCTTATTCATTGAGAACCGAAACACACAGAATAAAATACACAGTACTGAACCGATATTCAAACCAAAGAATTCCAAACGAAGTTTTATCCAAATTCGAATTAATCGACCAATCACATCGAAGAGATGAACAAAACAGTCCAATCGAAACAAGACGCAATATGGCGTGATGTGCAAAACACCGATGAAAAGATTAATTTCTACGCATGCCACTCGTTTACAAATATTATTGCACAACCATAACAAATGTTCTCTCATGTCCGTTCTTGGCGGCAAATAGTTGACGATCCTAAGAGAAACGAAGTAAGTGGGTGCCGTAAACTCCACATTAACCCTATTTTTTATGCCCATACATAAAATTCATTAAGGAAAGCTAACTTTATTCTTATCAATGAATATAGTTCAAAATAATATGACAAACCTCAGCAAAAAGATACTCAAATTTGGTATAACAGATAGAAAGAAAAAATACCTGAAGCAGTCATTTGAGCTAAAGTTAGCAAGTATAGAGAAGTTGCATCCAGCTGCAAGTGTCCCCAACCCTCATCTGTCACAACAGTGGCTCCGGTTTGAGAGCTGTACTTAGCGTGAAGAGAATCCAGCTTATTTTGGGTCTCCTTAAAGTTTTCTAATTTTTCCTTCTGTTTCATCATGGACATCAGAAGGCCTCTCATCAGCTTCACACAACTCTGAAGACAGAAAGACCAATTTAAGTTTCTAACTAACATTTTCTTTAAAGAAATCATATCATGTTAACATACAAAAGAGCATTTTTAATATTTTAAAAAGATATAATTAATCTTTTTATAAATGTTAAATTACTAATGCAATCTAAAAGGAATTATGGAGTCAAATTTACTTGATTAACTACAAAATTTTATTATAACACTTTAAGGTTACTTTTCATTTATTCTACAACAGTTTTATTTTATCAAAAATAATTCTGCCAATGCATATTAAAAACCATACCACAATTGTTTTAACCTTAAATTATTTAAGTAATTAATTTAATTATTATAGGTAAATTTTTTAATAATTAAAAAATTTCAAAAAAATAATAACACTTCTTAAAACAGATAAGCATAAATTCGCATAAGCATAAAATTAAGATGCAATTTTTTTTATTTAAAAATATTAATTAAATTTTCAAAAATTAAGTTAATAGTTGCTTTGCAACTCCAAATAAGATATATTTTTCTGAACCTGTTCAAGTTCGTATGTTTTGGCACGATCTTCATCCAAATCTGCATTTTTCTTATATGCCATGGAAAGAGCCCAAACAGCCATGATAGAATACACACTGTCACGCACCCAGGCATGATCATTTTTTGATGTAGATCGAATTAAGCCTGTAACTGGATTCTAAACAAAAGAAAATAATTATTATTTCAAAGAGATATTCCTTTTAATTATTTAATAATAAAAGCAGCTTGCATAAAAGTATCAATCACAAAAAATATTGCGATTATTAAAAAACTTTAATTTTAAAAATAAATTTATGAAAAGTATTTTTCAAATTAAAAATTAAATTTTTTCAAGAAAACTGGAACAGAGGGAATTAAAAACTCAATGTCACAAAATTATTAATAAAATTTTTTTCGACTCATTCATCACTTCACATAAAATAATTTTTCGTTAAAAATACAATGTTTTACATAAACTTTAAAAGTAGATAACTTTTAAACAGAAGGCAAATGATTAAGACAAGTGAGGTTTGACCTTGTGCAACCTTGTACTCTAAATACACTTTTTAAATATGAATAAACAATGCTCACAAAATTTATTAATATTCAAGTACTTACCTGATGATCAAGGATGGTTTTATGAACCAATCGCTGATAATAATCCAATCGCGCTCCCGAATTACTGCGGCTCCTCATTTTTATTTGTTTCCGTGAATTTTAAACTATATATTTTGAAAGAACAGCCGACGATCGCCTTTTATTTTCCATATCTTCCAAACTTAAGTTGCCTAAAATTTTAAACATAAAATCATCTTCATAGACATGCCATGACAAAATATTAATACAATTTCTTCAGCAACGAAAACAAAATGAAAACTTATCAGAACCAACTGCCAGTGAAGGTAAACAAATGAAAAGAATGCGTTTTAATAACGCAGCTTGAAACAGTTTCGATTTTTTTGCATTATCAACTCGTGCTCATCACATATGTGGGAATATAAATTATAAATGTGAATGAGTCCTTAGAAAGGGACTATACTGTTGTATTATTCAATATATATATTGTTTCAATTCTGTCTTTAATTTTCAAACAAATTATTTAGAATTAAGAAAATTAATGCGGCAATATCATTCACACGAAAGTGAAGTGAGTTGATTATTTTTGTCTTCAGAAACCTTGAGATTGAGGTTTTTTAGACGTCGGAGTACGGTCTCTGGTATATATTTATTAATTTTATTTGAAGGAATCCGACCTTAAAGGTAAATTAATCTAATTTGAAGATTTTTCTGTTTGTGAATAGGCCATTATATTCTTAATGATACTTGTTAAAACGGAATGTTTTATGGCAGAAATCACTTTTGAACTTTTCGTATTGTAGGTTATCCAACATGGGTAAGAAGTTTGGAGAATTGGCCAAGATCCGTGGTGTCATCCACTATAGATTATCTCCATATGAACAGAATATATTTGCTGGAATGTTTTCTAAAGGTCTGCCTAATTTAGTCAGACGAATTAGAAGTCAAATCTTATACGTAGCACCCCGTAAGTTATAACATTCTTATTTATATGATCTTTAGGTGAATTTATTGAATTGGAAGATATCTAGAATAATTTTTGGATATGTAAAGCAAGAAACAAATGTTCTGAGTTTCCTTGTAGTTTTAAATGTTCGCTGCGAAGTTGGAAAGTAATCAATGGGAGCATCTAAAGTTATGAGTGAAAACCTGTTTACTATTTGTATTTTACTATCACTGACCATTTTTTTATAAGTACTCTTTGGTTGTAAATTGTTTCAAATGAATTTTAGATAATTATTAATATAATTAAAGTTGACCTTGAACTGATAGTTTCTTAATGTCTTACTTATTTTCATTAGTTGATCATATTGTGAATATCATTTTTTCCATGTTTATTTTATAGAGATTAAGTATACATAAAGTATAATTAGATAATTTAAGCATCAAAACAAAATTTGTGTTTTAAAAATTGAATAATTTGTCTTGCCTTGTTCCAAAAATGATTATTGGATCCAAACTTCTATTAGCTCTCCAGGTGCATAAAATTGAGTATGTATCCTGAAAAGATCTCTTTCCATAGATGAATTGGTTATTCTGGAGTCTACGTTTTTCTGGAGTCTGGCTTTTATTTAAGAACCTTTCGGCCCTTTTCTGAAATCTTATGAATGTCAGCATTAGATTTATTACTGATGGGAAAGACAGAAGGCCGCCCCATGTCCCCGTGCCTGATACCATTACAGCATCCGTACCGGTTGGATCGACATGGTGGTCACCCTCCCAAGTACTGACCGCACCTGATGCTGCTTAACTGCGGTGATCAGACGAGAACAGGTGCTTTCAGCATGGTATGGCAGTTGGCGGATGGGAAAGACAGTAACCTTACGAGAAAAATCATCTACTATCGTAAAAAAGTATCTATTACCACCCCGAGATAAAACTGGAAGTGGACCACATAAATCCAAATTTAACAACTGAAGAGGATGTTTTGACCTTATTTGTCCTATTGATTTAAAAGACACTCTCCTTGACTTAGCAAGTTTATATGAAATACAATCTTCAGTTAATCCAAACAACTGGAAGCCCTCTAACACTATTATTTTTACTAATATTCAAGATATAATCATTATTAATGTGACAAAATCTTTCATTCCATAAATTCACTAGTATTAATTTTTTCTACCTGATTCGCCGATAAGTTAACATCGTTTTTACCTTTACTCTTGGTTACATACTTAGAAGGTTTTAAAAAATACAGATAACTTTTTCTTAATGCATAAAACAGCTCATTCCAATTTTTATCATATTCTTTAATTTGACTTCCAACAAACTTAATCTTTCAAGTTTACCTCCCGATAGAAGGTTTCTACGTAAATTAGGGTTATATAAAACATCTTTTAAAACAATAGCACTAAATTTACCATCCTTATCCTTTACTAAAAATGAATTATGCCTTTACCCTCAACTGGGCTTTCTTTTTCTTCAACAGCAAGCGACATTTGTATATCACTAACTGGTTCAAAACTATAATCTAAACTTTTATTACTGCAAAAATGTGCAGTAGCAGCTGTGTCCAAGACCCAGCTCGTATTTTGACCGAAATCAGATGAATTTGCCTCGTGGCTATTTGGGGATGTTTCTATTAAATTACTCTCAAGTTCGGAAAAAGCATTTTTACTTTAAATTTCAGTATTACTGGATTCAGTAGTTTTAGAATTGGAAAGAGCAGTTTTATGTTTACAGTTAGCTATTAAATGATCATATGATTTACAAAAAAACCAAGGAACAATTTGTTTATTTTTCACATTTGAAATCTTGCTTCTAGACCTTCTCACTTTAGAACTTCTAATTTTTCATCTTGTTTATAACAATTACCTGCTTCCTTCCGATACATCTCTTTAGAAAAAGTAATTTTACTTACAGTATCCAAGTCTTTTCCCATTTATCGCAAATGATTTTCTTCTAACAAAAGTTCACTTTCAATCTTGTCAGGTTGAAACTCGGCATCAGTCCATCTATAAATAGCTTGCACTGTAGACTGGTAAGCTTCGAATCATCCAACACCCTTGATAGTGTGGCTGTAGTTGTTGACCAATCTCCCGTAGACCTTCGGCACCTTGCTTGACTCTACAAAGAAACAATTCTAAATCCTCTTCGGTTTCAAATTTTGTATTAAAGAATTCGTCTGAAAGTTGAATCGCCCTCGCTCTTGTGGTCGGCGTGAAATGATTCTTAAGAATGAACAAGGCTTCAGCTCCATCTGTTATTTGAGAAATTAGAGGCTTGATATACAAGGGTGTAAGACCGATCCTTTATTAACTTAAGAACGTATTCCTCCCTCCAGCTCAGAGCTTGTTTCCTGGAAGCGACCTCCTATGTTTCCACCGTTTTGGATACTTTAGGCTTGGAATCTTCTAGCGATGTTTCCGCCGATTCCATCTTGGGTTTTTCAATAAACTGCCAGGCTCCATAATAAAATAGTAGAACTCTTATCTCCACCTTCAACTGCTTCCAGTTTTTAGCCGCCAATAGGGTTTTGTTCGGAAACTCCATAATCTGCCCCCGTCTCGGCAATCTCCAGGAAGACACAGAAGTCAGAAACAAAGTTCACTCTTGTCACAGCAACAAAGCTCCAAACTTAGAAAAAAGCAACATCTTCACTCCCACACCATAAACCACTGTTGGAAGAAAGCTATCTGGGCCCATAACCAATTGATGGCCTTTGATCGTCAATGATGGTTTAGGCTTAGCAGAGCTGCCATTTATGCGTCAGTAGGATCTAAAAGCATTGGCGTGGAAGACTTTTAAAAGACAAGCATTATGAGGACAGACATTTATTGATGACTATTAACATATGAAAAACAGTTTAAACAAACTGTGAGACTTTCACAGTCTTACTGCAAGAAGAATACAAAAGATGAGATCAATCTCGTATTTATATACACCCTCCTGAACGATTTGCATATTACTTACTGATGCCATTCTGCACACTAAGTTATAAGTTCTCGTACTCATGGTTAAGACGGGTGGTTTGCCTGTCAAAATTTTTAATGACTGAGATTTGGTCTAAAATTTAATATCATATTGGTAATTTTGGTGATAAAAGCATTTACCAAATTTTATGTAATCTATCTGGTTGTATTTTTAATTATTTTGTTCATATGCAAATGGATTCCCATTGATGGTTTTTGTCCAAAATTTCATACAGATGTGTGATGCTGGTGCCAAGACCACACATATAGCATGCTCTATTTTTTAGTTAATATTCATTTACAATAGACTCTCTCTACACATGTGGGACCGGACACCTGTTGGATTATAGAGAGTGTCTGGACTATAGAGAGTCAATAGAAAAATCATGTACTGAAAGGGGGATGGTTTCAGATTTTAACAGGAAAGAATGACTCATCAGCAAGTAACATGTTCCAACAGGTGTGTCGCATTAGAGAGAGTCGACTGTAATTCCAAAAATGTTCCCCAAGTGGCATAGCTTTAGAGGCAGTCCGCCCCCAGAAGCACTTCGAAAGGGGTGGCAAAATCAGACATGCAGGAAAGAAAAGCAGTGGCACTAGTTCAATCACTGTGTACATAAAGAATAAATCTAATGTAATTAATTTGGATTTTTTTTTTCGTAAATAGCCAATATGTGAAAGAAAGATTGATGGTGGACGCACTGTTTCACAACCTATCTGAAGATAACAAAGGCAACAAATGACATATAACGTTACTATCACAAAATGTTTAAATTAATTTTTCATTCTACAGTTTTGTATTGCTCTATACCTTTAGGGAAGGACAACAAAATGTGCAGCTACGTCACTGTGTTACCACTTCTCCCAGACTTGGGAAATCTTGAAACGTAGAGATTCATCAAAATCTTGTATTTGAATTTTTTGGTGATCACAATACTTTATGTTTTTATGCTTCATTTAAAAGAAAGTAAAAAAGAGTGTAGCTTAGAACTCAATGGAACTTTTAGAACTTGGAGCTCTGTAAAAAATATTTGACAATTACTTGGCCTCATAAGAACACTCTCGAGATGTTGTAACTTCAGCAATGTTTTAGCTCGGGAGAGGATCAGTGGCCTTGTTAAAGGTTTCTTCCCCTCCCCTGACCTTCAGGAAATATATATTATTTTCTATTTATATCAACTTATTGATTTTATGTCACAGAATTTTAGAAGTGTTTAAGGCTATCTTTCTAAAGGCATTGTATTCTAATGTAGTTAAGAAGTCAGGGTAGTTTCACTAATTCATTTCCTGGATTAAACCTTTTTGTGAATTCTGAAGTTTGCAAAGAATTTCTGTTTGAGACAGCAGAATTTTAAGGGTTTTCTTCTTTTTTAAATTTATATCAATTGAGTCTAAGAAAATCTTAAGGTTTTTTTTTTTCCCCTTCTATTATATAATGAATTAATACAGTCACAGCAGCAAAGGTAATGTTCGGATGATGCTTATATGTTTTAACTGTGTATAAATTATATTAAGTTACATTTAAATAAGTTGTTAATGTTTATTGAAGTTTTCTTGAACATATGCTTTTATCTTGCAGAACTTAAAATCCATAAATAAATTAACATAAAAACTTTTTATGCTTGAATTAATTTTGTCCTTTAAAAGACTAGACATACATTCAAAAGAATTGTTTAAATTGCTTTTCCCATGTAACTAATGTTGTTTATATTATTTCTACATCTGAACTTTTGATAATACTAATATTTTTCAGTAAACTTTCAGTCTACGGTGCCCACTTGCTTCTCACCAATTTTTCTTGGCGCAATTTCACTTGCTGGCGCCAAACACTGTTTGGGATGCGCAGTTCGCTTTTCATTGCTGTACTGTGCATGCTTCTTTTGAAAAGGGATGATTGAGCACACAATGCCTTAGGCATTTCAAACGCGTACCGGGCAATTTTTTTTAACTTAAAAAAACATCAGCTGCTTCGCTTTCTGCAAAGCGGGACACTAGTAGCTTCGCTTATTCATTGAGAAGCGGAAACACAGAATAGCATACACAATTCTGAACCTAAAAGTGACTGAAAATGTTCAAAAACGAGAAAAGTGTAGTTAAAACTTCACATGCCTATTTTAATTGCCCAATTGCTGTTTATACTTAGGACACTGATATCTGCTTGCTATCAATCCCTGATCCACACATTTCGAAAGGGAACCAATGCCATAATCAACAACAGCTGTACAAAGCGCACGTAACGAAATGATAAAATCAGACGAAAATCAAACCAACAAAAGAAATTCGATTGAATCGACAAATCATATCAAACGGATCAATGGAACAAACCAATCAAAACACATTGTAATATCGTGCCGTGCGCAAAACACCGATGAACAGATAAATTTCCGCGCACATCTCGCTTGTTAAAATCATCATTGCGCAACCAAAACAAATATCCTCTCCTCTCCATTCTTGGTGGCAGAGAGTTGGTAATCCTAAGAGTTGTCGGGGAGTTCCGATATAAGCTGTTGCACCGAATGGTTTTAGATGCCTAATACTTGGTTTTCTACCGCAATACAATTCGAAAGGGGTTTTGTTATGACTTTGATGACAAATTCTATTCCACGTATAAGTGAAACATAACAAGGCTTCAGCCCAAAAACCGTTTCTAAGATTACTGTCTTTTAATAAACATTTAACTGCATCCAGAGCTGTATAATTGAAACGTTCACTTACTCCGTTTTGTTCGGGAGTATATTCATTTGTTCGTTCAGCTCTAATACCTTGATTATCAAGAAAGTTTTGGAATTCATTGTGACAAAACTCCATACCTCGATCAGTTCTTATATTGATAATTTTATTATTAAGATATCTTTCAGCTCGCTTTTGGAATTTAGTGAAACAA